TCTTGAAAACAATCAACTCACTGGCGAAATTCCTCAAAGTATGGTCCAATTGTCTTTTTTGGAAGCCGTGAGCCTTTTTTTCAAAAAATTTTCTGAAAAGATCCCAATAGGAACTCAGCTTCAAGGGACACACAAAGTTAGTTGTATTGGGAATCCTGAACTGTGCGGGGCTCCACTTCATTGGCTTTGTATTAATCAAAGAAATCACAGTCGATGTCATGACATGGTGCCGATCTGGTAGGAACCTAAATGCAAAGAAGAAAAAGAAGATAGTAAGAAATTAATTGAAGAAAAATCAGAACATCGTACACTAACAATTCATTTCCAAAAATCGAAAAATCCATAAGGAGATAGAAAGAAAAGAATGAGAGATTGTATGGTAGGCTTACCGTTTCGCTAAGCACAACAACAACTAAAACCACCACGAACTGACATAGGATAGTACATAGCTTCAAGAATTCATGGTCACTGAGGCTCATGAGGGAAAAGGAGAAAGACAGAACCATGCACGGCAGGAGCGACTGGTGATGGGTTTCTCGATCTGCAGAATGAAGAACTGCGAAGCAGATTTGCGGTTTTTCGTTTCTGGAAAGACCAAAAATGATTAGAATTGGAAGGAAAAAGTTTGAAGAGGAAGGATCAAGAGGAGGGGAATACATAACTAATTTATGAAAATTAAGAAAATTAAATTACTTTACTTATAATAAATTGGTGTTGTCTTTTTAAAAATATTTTTATTAATTATGTATACTAGAATGGAAACCCTTTTAACACGTATAATTTTTAGATAAAAATGAATAAATATGATAAGTAAAATAGATTGGGATATTATATTTAGGGCAAAATTAAATTTTCACAAGTTAGCAATGATGGGAGAGAATGGGTGACTGTTTGGACTAAATTGCAGGCTAATAATATGCGTGCCAATTCATGGGAAGGAAAACTCATGTAGTGGACTTATGTTTGGGTCTCCATGGTATGAGATATATTATGTTGTGAGTCTAGCTATTTTAGGCAAGATTAGTATTATTTATTTTACTCTTATAATCTTTTTATAAGGCAGGAAAAAAAGTACATTTTTTATTCTGTTTAAAAATTACATCATTAAATTTTTGCTGATAAATATCCCACCAAAGAAGAAACCATTTGAATAAATCATAGGATGATATGTAAATGCCAGATAATTGTGATATTTAAATATGAAAATTAAAACTAAAATTGACATATAAATATCCTCTTAGTTTTATAGAGACTATCTTGCTGTATTGTAAGATATATATATATATATATATATATTTCAGGGAAGACATTAAAAGTAGAAAGCCCTGAACCGAAAAAAATGTTGGTCTATAATATAATAAGTTTTCTAGAAAAAAAATTTTGGTCCAAAATATTAGAAGTTGGCAGAGTAATTAATCATAGTTTTTTTTCACCAGAAAATTAATGATAGTTTTTTTATTTTTATCCTTTGTTAGAGAGAGGGGAGAGATTTTCAAATGCAGAGGGAGGAGAAATTTTTTTTCCAATCATATTCTTTAATAAGGATCAAATAAGTAACTTTTATCAATTGAAAACATATTTAATGGCTTAACTAACATTCCTTGAGGTTCTGACTCATAACTGTAATGCAATCTAGATCATCCAAAATTAAATATTTGATATGAACAGTTCATATTTAAAATTTTTAATTTGTAATTTTTCAATGATAACTTTATTTTTTTAAAAAGAAGTGTTAGTTATAAGATTATCTTTGTTTTAAATTCTGTATCTATTAAAACAAACAATTAATTAAAATATATAAAAAAAATTAAATTTAATCTAGACCATTCAAAATTGATCTAGATGGTTCAAATTGCGATAAGCATGGAATGTGCTCCTCATTCCTTAGTGTGTGAGAAAGCTCAATTAACATGTTATATTATGAACGGGAGAAAGTAATTAAGGCATGGCATTCAATTCCCATACGCCTCTTTATCTTTCTCAGTAAAATGTATAGACCAGCTGAAGAATACCAAGGAAAAGGTAATGTGTTTACAAGCTTTTCTTAGTGATACCATTAATTTGCTGCCCCTCCAGATTAGGAAAACCTAATTGATCAGTGAAGGATAAGGAACCATGCACCTCTCTAATAACTGCAAATGGATGCTATTCTTAGTCATAGCACTAATCCAATGTAACTAAAGATTCCCTCACTTAGTGGGTTCCACGATTAATATATGTTGTTTAATTATCTTGGCAACTTCATTTGAACGATGGCATCTTTTACTGATTAGATGGAATTGGAAGTTGAACTATTCTTTGCCAAATTCAACTCATCAACACTATATAATTAATACCAGCAAAGGAAGGGCGAGAACGATCGATCATAATGTTCAATGACAGTCTTTGTTTTATTTGCGTACGTACGTGCGTGACTGGATATATGAGAGACTGATAGATATTCAGTATTCACTCTACAATTGAAGACGTGTTATCTTCTTTTTATCTTTTTTTTTTTGTCAAATCAAAGAGATAGGTATTAATAACCAGGAAAGAACAGTTGACTTATTAAATATGTCATAAATTATTAAAAAAATTCCAACTTCAGATCTATCTCTCGCCTCTCTCAATTATCACCAAATTAATGTTGCTACGTTCTTCGGCCTAAACAACTCACGTATGTTTGGGTCTCCATGGTACAAGATATATTGCCAGTTGATCAGCTGTAAGGTGTGTTCACACTAGAATTATTTTGCTACCTCCCGTTCTTAATACAAGAGCTAGTTGACTAATTTGAGTAGATTAAAGAAGTTTGTTAAGTTAGTTACTTGTAATAATTAGGTGTTATCTTTCCTAAAATACCATTATTAATCATGTGTATTACCTTGAACTATTATTTGATGAAATCTTTAACATGTGTAACTACTAAAAAAATGAATAAATATGAGAAACAAAGTGGATTGGCAAAAACAAAAAAACAGAGAGATAAAATGGATTGGGGTCTTATATTTAAAGCCAAATTAAAAGTCAAAATAGCTATCATATTAAGGACTAGAGGTAATATTTCATTGTTCATGTATGAATAACTAATTTCCTCAAAATAATATAAGGCCCGTTTATTTTAATTTTAAATTAACATAAACACAAATTATAATTATGATCAATAACTGTGATAGCTTTGTGACTCAATTGTATTTATTCGAAAATTTGCAAAATGATTCAAATGAACTAAAATATTGTACAAAATTACAGAACCAAATGGATACTAATCATTCACTGCAACCTCTTCATGCGTGTTAGACTAAGAAAATAACCAACGAGCCATGACAGGAGACAATTAATAGAGGAAGTAAAGCTTCTTTAGTACGCTCAATTAAAAAGAGGAGAATGAAGCATGGTTAATACGAAATAATACTTTGATAATTAAGAATATATAGTACACAAAGACTTTATATATAGGTCCCGTTCGGTATGAAATATTGAAAATAAGAGGTGAGAATTGGAATTAGAATTGAAAAGCTATATTAAAAAAGTATTTAATATGAGTAATTACTTAATACTTGGGATTAGACAAATCCATTTATGTGGGAATACGATGGGGGCGGTGGTATTTTCCAATCCCATCTATATGGGATTAATCAATCCCATGTGATAAAAAATCACTCATGCTAAACATCTTTTTAACACATGTTTTCAATCTCAATCTCAATTCTTACCCCTTGTTTTCAATGCTTCGTACCAATCGGAACCATAGGATATTCGGGTGGAAACCAAACTATAGTTTTAAAAATAACTTTATGATATACGAAATATATGAGAAGAGTTTTATTTCAACTTACATGAAAGTACTTTTTAAAAGTGCTTTTTGGGGTCATCCAAACACCTTGTTAAATCGAGGAATGTTTTTGGAAGTCTACTTTTATTAACAAAAGGTTTCGACCTGAGATCCATTTGGTGATTTTCCTCTTTTATTTGCTTAGGCCATGAACATAATCAAAGATTACTACTATTTTCCAAAGTTGTTTATAAATATCTGTCATTGGAGCAATCCCTTCTCACATAGATCAAACCATATCTTGGGTAATCATGGATATATTGCTAATGTTTTGCTACAATGCTTTATAATATTTGCCATCATGCTCCCCAAAGGCATGTGTGGTTTGAAAGTGCATTGTAATGAAAAAGACCCCATCTTCTCCTCATCAGCTTCCGTCCTCTCTAGTTGGTCTAAGGAGCGAGATTGCTGTGAATGAACTGATGGAGACTGGCAGAGTCATTGAGCTTAGTCTCCCTTGTTCTGCAAAATTCAGCTTGAACAAATTTATTTGTCATACATGTAAGAAGTTTAGGACCCATCAAGTATGACAGATAAATTTGCTCAAGCTGAAAAGGAGGGACCCGAAGAGAATCAAAGTCAAAGATCATGTTTGGGGATCCCATGGAAAGATAACTCAGCTTCGAGAGTTTGGTGAAGTTTCTTTCAGATTGTCAAGTGATTATCGTCAAATTCTTTCTGGAAGAGTTGCCCAAGACTTTCTGGAAGACTACCATTTAAATGATTTTAGAAGACATGAATCCAGGTGAGTCAGCAATGACAAATTTCCCAAAGTTGAAGGAATAGGACCAAAACATAAATTTTCACTAACATCAACTCCATGAGAAGACAACCACTTTCAATCATGCTCTCTGTCTGCCACACGGAGAAGGAGAAGGCCTTGTCTGAAAAGAATAATCACCGCAAGAATAATCTAATTACAAAGAAGAAAAGCCAATATTGTATGCTGTAATGTTAATGATGATCACTTGGTAAGCAAATATTTATATATAACATGAATATATGTGTGATAGTTCAAACATACCCTTTGTCATGGTTGACTCAGCTCGATCTATGTCTTCTTACATCATTTAAATGTTAGTCTTCCAGAAAGTCTGGGGCAACTCTACAACTTGGACGCATCAGAATTTAATGATAATCACATGATAGGACATGGGTCTGACTTGGCGAAACTCTCAAAGTTAACTCTTCTTTCCATGGGATCCCCAAACTTGATCTTTGACTTTAATCTCTTTGGGTCCCTCCTTTTCAGGCTGAACAAGGGAGACTAAGGTCAATGACTCTATCAGAGTATCAGTGATGTTGTCCCAGTGAAGTCCAGTTCATTCACGGCAATATCGTCTGGCTCATATCGGACCAACTAGAGAGGATGGCAGATGGCAGATGGCAGATGGCAGATGGAACAAAGACTTAGGAGGAGAAGATAGTATCTTTTTCATTACAATGAGAGGCATCCATTCTCACTCAAAGAGGTATATGGTTTGATGGGAAGTGATGGATCACCAATGACAGATATTTATATACAGCTTTGGGAAAAATAGTAGTAGTAATGTTTGATTAGCGTACTAAATAAGCTTTTTGCTTCCTCTTTTAATTGTCAGTTGTCTTGGTGCAATGTCCCAAATAAAATAACACGACACTTATCACAAACACAAGATTCTTCATAATGACCTTCATAGCTAAGATTGGCCAATCCTCAGGTGTTCAAAATACAGAAGAAAAGTTTAGAAACGGAAATGGAAAATGACAGAAGCTGAAATTAGCAGGGAAAGGAATCCATTCAGAAGGAGATTTTCAATTGAAGGTTTCCTTATTAATTAGCTGATGGGTCCCACGATCAACATGTTGTTTTCTTACTGCCAACTTCATTTGAACAATAACGGATTTAAGGATGGATTTTTCTGTTCTAATTTTAAAAAGCTGCCTCTAAATTCGTCTTTAGTTTGGTAACTTTCAAATAAAATTGTACGAATCTTTGTTAAAATATTTTGAGATAGATCCAGAGAAAAAAAAATTTTGGGTGTTCTTTAAATTGTTAGAGACGAAACTCAGGCTATTTTCAAAATTGTCTGTGAACTTTTTTTTGGTTACATGTATAATTTTGGAATCGCAAGACATGTACTTGCAATTATTTGTAATTCTCCATGGGGTTAGTGTGATGACTCCATAATCACCCACTCAATGTTCACAATGCCGCAAGTAGGTGAGAGAAGTGGAGGGGGACAATTCAAGAGAAGATACAAGGGAGACTGCTATGGTAATTCTTTCCCTCTTCGATAGCATTCGATGGTGAACACCGATGAGTGCTCCGCATTTTCCGCCATGGAGTGTTCTTAGATCTCTAGGAATTTGAAGGGAGTGAAGATATGAAGTGGGGTAGGGGGAATTAGGGGCGGGATGAGGAAAGGGGTCGGGGGAGAATGAGAAGGAAGGGGCAGGAGAGGAGGAAGAAAAGAGAGGAAAAAAAAGAGAAACAGATGGAGATGAAGATAAGGATGAAAGAGGAGAAGGAGGAGAGAAAAAAGGGGAAGGGCATTTTTGGTATTTTCTCTATTATTTTATAATTGCAGTTTAAGACTTGGTCCCTTCAAGCAATTAAGCTTATTCAGGTGTATATTTAGCTATTTTACTAATTCAGGGGTCTTTTTTTGCTATTTTTCCTTTTATCTACTCTCATTCCTCCCTTGAGCCCAGGACCGTGCAAAAATTATTTGACACGTTCATTGCTGAAGACTGATTCAAAATATTTTCTTAAGTCTTGTGAATTGATTAAAATGGTCCTATCTAAAAAAAATAAACCGGACGGAGAATTATTAATTATTTCAGGATATATAGTTTTTGACAATTTGAATGTTGAAGGTGAATATAAATATATTGAATATATAAATTATTTGTCGTTTTATATTGACAATTATAATGGGTACGTTTGGATCACCGTTTGGAGGAGAAAAAGTACCTGGGAACATGTGAAACGGCGGTTTGAAGCTTTGTTGAAGTAAATATGTTGTTTGGATTGATGTTGAGTGCAAATGAACTTATGCTATGAATTGACTTTTTTTCCAACGCTCCAGAAAGTGACTTTTGCCTTCTGCAACGCAATTGATGGGGTCCACATGGGTGAATAACAAATGTTTTTACTTTTTGCCCTAGAGAGAAAATGCTTTTATATAAAATTCAATAGATTAATTTAAGAAATTTAAAAAGCTAAATAAATTATTTAATTATATTTTATATTACATGATTTCTTAAAAATACTTATATGTATTATTAGACTACATATTAGTTTATAAGTCAAGCAAATTAATTTGAAGAAAAATAAATATAAATATTTCAAAATATTTTATTTAAATTTCTTAATCTTCTCAAATTAATTATATATATTTAATTATATTCTATGTATGTTCAAAATTTTCTCACCAACAAATCTTTTTATTTTACAATTATAATTTTGATTATTTTTTAACAATTATCATACTAATATCATATAATATAAAACATTAATATTCAATAAAATTCATGTCTTTTTCAGTCATTTTACATCTAAACTTATTTTTTTATTAATCATCCAAACAACTTTTAACTTTTTTAACTGACTTTTATGAGCACCTATCCAAACATAAATCACATTATACTAACTGACTTTTACTCTAATTTCAGTTAAAAAAGTTAGTTAGACTAGAAGTTAGTTTTACCCAACGTCAATCCAAACACATCCAATATTGGTCTTGGAGTCGACGCATTTACTATCTTTTGCCGGGAAAAACAACAGCCTATACCTCCTTGTACATCTCCAAAGCCCAAGGCCATTCAAATAGAATCGGCCCATTTGGCCCTTCCTCACCGCCCACGTCTTCATAAATGTCTCACAAAATAATGATATCTAAATATAAGCAGTTTGTTAGTGAGTGATTTGTAAGTATCTTTGTAAAGACTTTTGAAAGACATATCCTAACTATGATAAGTCTTGATACTCAACTCACATAAACGTTTTTGTAGCAAGAAAAAAAATGTGTTGATTTCTTGATTAGTTAAATAGAGTCTTGACTCGAGTTTTCATTCAGACAAGATATATATCTTGTTTATTTTGTCATTATTTGCACTTGATTCCCCTTTTTCTTCTAAAACGCTATGATAATTTATCATTTTCCAATAAATAATTATACAAATAAAAAAGACTATATAATGGAATAATGGAACCCAAAAAAAAAGAAGGAGGAAAACCGCTCACCAATATTCCATATGCTCATCACTGCAAATTAAGGATTTGTCTCTTAAAAAATGGCAATTCATTTGGGAACCAAGAAACATTAGAAACCAAATCAAGCAATTGTTGTTCACTGTTTGGATAAAACTTAAAGGGCCATGGGTCATCGTTCTTTTCTGCTTTTACAATTTATGGGGCAATCCTCAATCTTCAATATTTTTTATTGAAAAATTAGAAACTGCTGGGTTCTTAATTAATGGAGAAAAGAATGGTTTATTTGTTATGTGTGTGTAATAATGTGATGCTTTTGCATTTTTTTTGGTCCAGTGATATTTATTTAATTTTCTTGAGCAAAAGGAAGAGATTTTATTCATCTGCTTATATTTGTTTTTTATTTATTTAATACTTGTAGTTTCTCTTGCGATCAATTTATGGTTGTAGTTTATTTTACTATTTATGCCGCAATATCTAAAGCATTCAATAATTATTTTTTATTTTTTTACTTTTAATGATACGACTTGTTAATTATACATATATATATAGACATTCTTAAAGTCCAAATTCATATTATAAAAATTTAAAAACAAGCATATATATCACAGTACCATGGTGTTCATATATATAACATATGTGGATTAAAGTGGATTACATTGGCTTGTAGAGGACTAAACACACTGACTTGACCCATCAAATAAGAACCATGCTCAGAGGCGAGGCGAGGCAACGCATATTTTAAAGAGTAATATTGATGACTCGAAGTCAACAAGTCTTCTCTTTCCCATTATCTTTATTTGCTTAATTTTCTCAGCTTTTTCTCCATCTGACTAGTCAGCAAGGTAGGATCATGATGTAGGGGAGATCACCAATATCAAACAAATTTGACAAAATTAAAGAAAAAACAGGCGAAAACAATTCTCCATAATGTAACTTTTATATGCATAATTTAATGAATAAATCATGCAACTTTCTTTTAAGGTGGGTAGGAAAAGGGAGGTTGAAGATAATTAAACAGTTATGAAGTCCTGGTTTATCATATATTTATATCTTTGATTATGTGTCGTGTTTTATGCTCCAATTTAATTAATCAGCGTAAGTTTTACGTCCTGATCGAGTCAAAATCACTGAAAATAATATAAGAATGGACAGCTACGTTACAAATTTCACAAACATATTTTAATGTTTTGTAATTTTATAAGTCCATACCTCTATTCACATACGACACAATTTCTTCATTTGATTATTCATTTGGTTTAATGATTTAAGATCTATAATTGTAGCCTTAAATTAAATGCATTATTTATTTAATTACTACCATAAAAAAGGTAGTAGTATTATATTATGGTATTGTTTTCAAAATCAATTAAGTGATGATGATGATGGTGATGATGATGATGATGATGATGATTGCATGACCATTAAATTAAGCTGATGATTAAATGGATGGATAAAATTGTACATGGAGAAATGTAAGTATTGAGAAAAAATGTGGAGAGAATCCGAATTTTCGAGGAAGACTAATAACGCAACAGGTCCTTCTTCTTGATGGGTCGAGACAATTTGTTTTGTCCTCTTCATCCTTCTGGGCCCTTGTGTCATGGTTATTAATTTTCATATATATAATATCAAAGAATAAAATCTAGTATAAGTTGAAATAATTACACTGAAGCAGCCTTTTATCCATTCTAAGCGTAAGATGAAGAAAATGATGGAGAAAGAGAATCCATTTGAGCCAAGATACAACTTTAGATAAGTTGTCATTAAATTCAAAACATGCATCACGCCTAAGAAAGTATTTACAAATATATTTATAGACTGAGTAAATATTATTATTAGTCCTTCCAGTTTGATTAAATTTTATTTTGATTCCTCTAATTTCAAATTGTAATTTTTTGTTCTTATATTTTTATAAAGATTTGGTTTGAGTTAAGGTCATTAAGTATATGTACCAAAACCAATGCCAAAATTCATCCAACTGTATTTTTAACTAGTTTTGATTTTGGACCTTATGCTAAAAAATCTTGAATTTGATTCTTACAAT